CGCGGATTGGTATGACTTTGCTTGGAAACCAGGAGGGTTTTGAGGTCTTGCATTAAAGTCTTGAGCCCCTTGATTATTCCAAGAAAAGTTTGGATGATTTCGCCAACCAAGGTTGTAAGTATTGGAGTATGGATTGTTCTGCTGCTGAGGCTTGCTGAAATTAGAGACATATTGTGCACTTGCCAGTTGCATACATTCAGAACTCAAATGAGGACCTCCACAGAACTCACAGACAGTGGCACGGAAGATCGCATTAGCATTTACAAGATTACCCATCGCCTTGGTCGGTGCATCTATCTTTGCGTTCATGGCACTAAGCTCATTGACTTCATACATTCCAAAGAGGCTTCTTGGAAACACTTCTCGAGTTCGACCATTGATTCCTATTCTTTGCCATAATTTGAAACAATTCATAGGCATCATCAATTGACTTATCCATTAATGAACCTCCAGCTGCAGCATCCACATTGTTTCTTGCAAAGTCTGTCAATCCTTGATAGAAAGTCTGAACTAGAGTACTTTTCTCAATACCATGGTGAGGATATTTTCTTTGCAATTCCTTGAATCTTGTCCATGCAGCATGAAATGTCTCATCATCTTCTTGAATAAACCCAAGTAATTTGATTTCTCAATTTATTGCCTTATGTGGTGGGAAGAAATTGATCAGGAATTCCTTGTACAGTTCATCCCAAGTTGTGATGGAACCAGGATCGCAAGTATTCAACCAATTCTTCGCTTCTCCCCTCAATGAAAAAGGGAAAAGTCTCAGCCGGATTGCATCTGACGTCACACCATTTATCTTAACAGTATCACAGATCTCTAAAAAGTTGTCAATATGTGCATTTGGATCCTCATTGTTAAAACCGGAGAATTGATTCTGCTGCACCATCTGGATCAATGCTGGCTTGAGCTCAAAGGTATTCGTAGCAATGGTAGGCCTAGTAATACTTGACCTAGCAACATTCTCTGTAGGTGTAAAGTACTCCCTCAGTGTCCGAGTGTTTACTCTGTCGCCCATGGTTTCACTCTGATTCTTCTCTTTTCTTAGTTTTGCTTCTTTTCCGTTCGCACGAGCTGTTCTTTCTATCTCTGGATCAAATTGCAAGGTCTCAGAATTAGCACTTCGCATATAAAAACAAAAAAATATTTAAAAGAAATCACTAAAATAGTAAGACAATAAAATAAATAAAATAAAAACAAATCTAAACTAATAAAAGAAAGTAATCTAAATTCGATATTAGCTGCCTTCCCCGGCAACGGCGCCAAATTTGACAAGCCGTCGTCACACTAGTCAAATAATAATTACCTACTTAATACAATTACTAGTAGTAAAGTAGCAAGCAGGGTCGATCCCACAGAGAAGGAATACTAATTACCAGGTATAAATTACTCCTATTATTATCTAGATAAATAATGATCTCAGATTTATAAAATTTAAACTTAAAATAAAATAAAAGTAAATAATATTAATTCAAATAATCAGACAAAGAAAACCTAGGACATTGGGTTCACCTACCGAATATTTGGGTTAATTCAATTCATAACTATCTGACTTTTATCTTCCATTAATCTCACAACGATTCACCTAATTAAGAACTATACACTCTTGTGTTATAATTCTCTTACTTAGATTAACACTATGACTACTCTCGTGACTATAGGGATTAACAAAAGCACATTAAGATCATTAAGAATCAAATATTGCAAAGGTTATAATCTTACTCTCGTAGCTTATAACCTAAGTTTATTATTCCTACGAACTAATATTAATCTTCCACTCTCGCTACTTCGATTAATACCTTCAGACATGTAAATAGTGGCCAATTACTTACACGAATTAAAACAAGAATAACAAATATTAATTAATGGAAAAATCAAATAAAAATAAACCAAATAAACCAAAATAAATTCGGTGGCTACACCCAAACCCTAGATTAAAAGAATTTAGCCACTAAACATTATTAAAATTAATTCAATAATATTTAGAGACATAATAAATAAAAGAAAATTAAATAAATTAAAACTTCAAAACCGAATGAAGCCAAAAATCCCGCCAAACTCCCCGCCGGTTGCTCGCTTTGCTTCGCGGCTGCTGCTTCGGTGGTGATGTGGATGATGATGCCGCCGGTGGAGGAGATTGAAGGTGGTGATTGTGGTGTGGGTGCTGCGCGAAGGATGATGGAGAAGGTGCTGCTGCTGTGTGTGCGAAGGCAAGGGAGTAGGGTGCTGCTGGCTTTCTCGGCGTGAAGAAGCAGAGGTGGTGATGATGCTGCCGAAGAGAGGTGAAGAAGTGGAGGAGGGCTGGTGCTGCGTGGTGGTTATGGAAGCACAGCGGCGGTGAAGAGGAAGGCAGCGAAGGAGGAGGGAGTTTGGTGGTGGTCGGCAGTGATGGAGGTTTTAACCGTAGGGTTCGGTGGTTTTCGGTCAAGTTTCGGTTCAGTTCTGTTGTAAAAATAAATCCCTAATCCCCTTTTTATAGACTTCCGGCTAAACCCTACTCCTTGAAGAACAAGAAAACTTGTTTCCCAATTAATATCGGGATTAAAATTCTTATCCAATTCCAATTCCAAATCGGCCGCATAACCATAACCTTCTCGGCCAATTTTCCAAAAACTTAATTAACCAATCCAAAATTACATCATTGGCCCTCCAATTCTCTAAACTCATTAATTTCCTCCCCATCAATTGCTCCAATCTTCAATTTTTTTCCCATTGAGTTGCTTTTAATTCGATTTTAGCTCAAAACTTCAACAATTCGTCATTTGAGTACAATTCCTACAATTAAAGATAAAATCACATAAATAGCATATTTGTACTCAAAATATATTGCAAAAATCACAAATTAGGGATATAATAAATAGGTAAAATATAAGCATATCATTATGTTTGTGAAGATTGACCTCATTTTGTATAAGCTTCCACGAGATTACCGGATCATGGCTCTGATTTCTCCAGATTTGGTTGTTTCTCTCCATTCAGATTCTCCATATAATGATCAGGAATAAATCAACCTCCTCTTTTGATGGATTTGTTTAAGACCATCGAATGAATCACTCAAATAATAAATCAAATGCTGAATTAAAGATGGACGCAAAAGTAGGGAAAGCCATACCCCATATAGCCTGGGAAGCCACGCACTTAAAGAAGAGATGCAAACTGTCTTCTTCATTCCTGCAGCAGTGAGGACATATTGTATCTACTGGAACACCGTGCTTGCAAAGTTCTTTCCTTGTGGAAAGAGCATTCAAAAGAGCCCTTCCAAAAGAGAAATTTTTGCTTTGGTTTCACTTCAGAGTTCCAAAGCCTCTTTCAGGCCAATTTTTCGTCCCTCAAAATTGCTGGGTCTGGAATTGGTTGTAGAGTCTGCATGTTTGTGGCCATGTGATAACCTGACTTGACTGTGTAGTTACCATGCTCTGTATGAAGCTATTGAAGCTTGTCCTTTTGAGTCATTCTTGCTGGATCTATAGATATCCTTGTAATATAAGGGATAATATGATCGGGGAAGATAGTTCTGAGAGAGTTAATTTTTCATTGGCTAGTAGGCTTGATGAAATTGCTAACTCTCATATTACAGTCCGTAGCCAAAATAGCTCATTATTAATAGAATTAGCATAACTTGGAATCCAATCTGCAGCAATAGGAATGTCTTTTCCTGAAATGACCTTCCATTTTGTGTGTTGGTGAAGAAGCTCTGCTCCCTACATGATATTTTTAAATTCTCATGATGGATTGTTTGGAGGCCGGCACGGAGGAAAAGTACTATTAGAGCAATATTTAGCACGAATAATTCGGGACAACAATGAAGTTGGCTCAAACATAATCTTCTATGCATATTTTGCCAGTATTGTTTAATTAAATTCCTTTGGGGCCTTCAAACTTAAGAAAAAATGAAGGGCTTGGAAGAAGATTACAAAGTGACAGGATCAATCATTGTTGATCACGAAGATATCATGTTATAAGAGAAAATGAACCGGTTTTGTTTTTCTTTTTCTTTCTTTTTTTTTGGGTTACAAGGAAAGAATTTTTTTTTTCCTTTCAACTTTTGGAAAAAAAACATTGCAACACTAACATTGAATAATTCGCTAAAAGAGTTAATAATAGATGATCTCAATGTTTTATGTGTGACGACTTGATTTATCGTTTATAATAAAACATTTGATATGGACTAATAAGATAGATGATCGTGCATGCATACACTCTGTAGTATGACAATTTTGTTGACCAAACAAAATATTTGAACGCGTAACGTTACCCATAAGGATAAAAAGTATAAATAAATGGATTCTGACAATGTCATCTAAAGAAACCAAAAGGGAAGACCGAGGATAATGATTGAATTAGACCGCGGTTGATGTTTTGGCCCGACTTTGAATCTAGAAACATGCTAATGACATCCGCAATGACGGCTATATATCCCACTGTCAAAGTCAGATCGTAATGTCGTGTATTTTGTGTTTTTGGTATATGTTTTCCAACTTCCTACAGCACATAAATCATCATCATGTAGTTAGTTTCTTTATATAATGGAAGAACACAATTTCCACTTTTCTTCTATTCTAGTAGATTAACTTGTCTTGGTCGTTCCCATTTTTTCAACATCGTGAGATAGGAAATCCTTACACAATATTCATGACGATTCTGATGAAATCTAACTAGAAACTATGTCTTGGGTGCGTTTAAATTTGCTTTACAAATATTCTGGCACTCAGAGAGGGACCGACGAACTACCTCTGTAGTTCTGCGAATGTCAATCCAGCAAAGTACTTCCGTTGTGGGTGTTTTAATTTTTTTTATTCATTTCTACTTTACAAATTCATGTTAAGATATAGTTATTGGTTTGATTTTAACTGATATTTTTTCTATCTCAAAATTAATATTCAAATTGAAATTTCAAGGTTAGTACAATGTGAACTAAAAGTAAAAAATTTCAAAATAGACAATAATTTCGGGACGAAAGTAATATATAATATAACAAAATCGAAGATGATTTTGAGGTACTAGAGTTGAGTTACAAGAGTTTTTATTCTACTACTTAATTAAGTTATAACATATTCATTTGTGAATAGCCTCTTGACCAAGAATTAATGTGCAAGATTGTCAATCCAGTCAATGATACAAATTCTCTAATGACAATAATATATAACAATCATAAGCTTCATATAGCTGTAACAAAATAATTCTTTTTAAAATAAAATTTTCACTTTATACTTTAGCTAGCAGCTACGAATTACAATTAAAATGTGGAGAACAAATTGTAGAAATGATCAGTTTCAATTTGCTGATTCTCGAATCCAAACAAATCAATATCGTTCACAAAAGCTTCTTCCCAAACTCGTATCCGTTTCGATTGGTATTGTTCTGCATTGCTGTTATTAACGGAATCCTCGATTCTCCAATATTCTTCCCTTGCTCTTTTTCTAGTATGACCAGAAATGATTTCTCCTGAACCAACAACTGAATATGAGGATTCAATGATTTGACAAGAACTTGAAGATGAATCCAATTCCAAAGTTTGTTTTCGATTGGAATGATTTGAAATTTCCAAAGCTTGAACAACTTTTTCAAGTGGGAAATTTAGATGAGCCTTGGGACCTCTAATCCTCAATGCAGCTTTGTCATAAGCCATGGCTGCTTCCTCTGCTGTTTCAAATGTCCCAAGCCAAAGTCTAGCTCCTTTCCTTGATGAATCTCTTATCTCAGCTGCATATTTTCCCCATGGCCGTCTCCGCACCCCGCGATAATGTCTTGCAAACACCATCTTCTCCCTCTTTACTACTCCTTCACCCGAATTCGGATGCATAGTTTCCATGATGTCTCTTCCTTCCGACTTGTTGTTAATAGTACTGCCTTGTAGTTGATCTTCATTCTTGCTTGTTGGCATATTATTAATCATACTGAAAAGTTCATCCCAATCATCGGATCCCATGGATAAAATCCGGCCTAAACTTGGAATCCTTTTAAGTGCTCCCACTTGGCCATCTCTAGAATCCAAGCCAGGCAAATCATGGTATAATGATTTGGAGCAATTATCAACAACTTGTTCATCATCCTTTTTAGAAATGAAATTTGCCCAAACATTCTCTAATATTGTTTGGGGAACTGGTACAGGTTCCTCCCTTTGTTGAGCCATAATACATTAATCGATAGTTGAATATTCAACAAACAAATTACTTACAAAAGAATTGGAGAATTAAAGTTAGAGATTGGGAAAGGGAATGTTCTCCTAAAATGGCTTGGGTATATAAAGGAAAACCATACATGTTTCATCTAGGGATGATGAATATGTACCTCGTAAGATGCTTATGCTTCAAATTAGCTAATTTCAAGGATGATACTCATTACTCATACGGGGGTGTAGACGTTAAGTTAAGTAGCTGGCATCACCATCAATTTCATAATGTTACTTGTTTGACAATTTAATTTGTACAATTAGACGATAATTTCCATCATTTAATTAATTTAATGAGAAGTCTTTTCTGTGTGCCTAACGGTACTAATCCTGACACGGTTTTGAATAAGGAATCTTAGAAGAAAATTTATGCTCCGATATATTTGTTCTGAATTTGTGCTTGAATTTTCAGGGATTAATTAATTAGTCTAATTAAGGGTGAGAATGAGACTAAGGTAGTGTCATTGGATTATTGTCTGACCTGTCGAGATTGTATAATAGTACGTTGCTTCTTCATCGAGGTTTTTGGTTGTGTGCTTTTGCAAAAGAGGAGGAGAAAATAATCCTTTTACACACATTCATGGTATAAATTAACTTTGGCAGGCACTACGAGCCGCAAAGTATGCAAACAGAAGAGGGTTTCGTGGGCAACAATTCATAAGGAACAAGAACAAAAGGAGGCATTATTCAATGTCATAGAGCCCATAAAAACTTAAAACACACTGAAATTTGACAATAATTCCTGCAGGATCCATTCCTTCAATTGCTGGGAATATAATTATCATTTCTGCGCAGTTATGTCCAACATACTACTTCCGGTCCTTATTATAAGTCATTTTGATTCCATCCTAGGGTTAATCTAAGATGTTTTTTTAATTAGAAAAAAACCTTGAACATACATTTTCACATTCGTTATGTTCTCATAATAATTATAGAATGTTTTTAAGGTTTTATTTCAATTAAAAAAACATCATATATGAAACCTAGGACGGTATCAAAATGTCTTATAATGAGGACCGGAGGGAGTATATGACAAGTAAATTCAACGACTTAATAATTTTCATTTTTTTATACAATTTTCATTTACTGATTAAGCAATTACAATTAACAAGCTCTACTTCATGTCTTCATGTCAATTTAACAAGATCACTCCTATGATATGATGGAGCACAATATAAAATACACTCTATGTTAGAGAATATGATGATAAAAATTACTAAAATGTTCTGTAATTATAATTTGACAATGTTTTAACCTTAATACTTATCCATGGAGAGCCATAGCAATTAATCCAATCTTTTTAAAAATATTGCTTGGGTAGGTTGACTCAGACATTATCGATCTTTCAATTTACCAATATACTTTGGAGGTTTTTCCTTATTATAGTTTAATTTACTTGGTAAATGTTTTTTTCTTCAGAATGATTAATATATTTACACCGAAAAGATTAATGAAAATAGAATGTGGCGGTGTGGATAACTTTCTTATTTTATTTTATTTTTTTGTTTTGGTTGCAGCCTTAAAGGATTTTCTTCCAAATGCAACAGATTAATAAAACCATTTTGTTATTAATAACTACAATTTCTACGGAAAAAAAACCCCTATCATACTATACGCATATATGTATGTACTACATCTAGACAAATTCCCCTCATTTGGTTTCATACATAGACTCATACAAGATTTATTCAATGCATTTTTCCACATTAGATGAACGAATTTAATTGATCAATAAACCACAATTTGAAGTACACGTATATAGGGGTTACTAATTCTGCATTTCCTACACTTGAACTATGTTTGGATGGTTTTTTTAGTGTTTTTTTTTTGTATTGAGAATGTAAAAAAATATACTGAAAATATAAAAAGGTGTATTGAAAATATAAAAAGATATGTTGGGATGGAATGGATATTAATTAAAAATTCTAAAAAAATAAACCAAAAAACGAACCAAACAGAGGTGTGTGGATAACCGACTATCATCATCATGACAAGTTCTTCGTTTGTTGCCACATACATTTATTTAAAATTACGGGAAAAAAAATGAGGCTGTACCTGAAAAGGAAGACACTTAAATCCACCACCACCCCCCAATTTTTTTTTTTTTAAAAAAAGAAGAATTAAATGCATTTACGCATTAGCAGATCAATTATGTAAAACAGTTCAAATTCATTTCCCTCCAACAAAAAAAAAAAAAAAGGAAAGAAAGGAAGAAAAAGAAAGATGATAACATTAATTGAATGAAGAAGGTTAGAAGGTTATGGTTCAAGTTCAGAGTGAGGGACATTTATTTATGAATATAAATACAGATGACCAACCCAGAAGTCCCAAGTGTCAGAGTTATTCACTCACTCACATAAACCAATCATTATTCTAAAACACACACACAAAAAATGAATGGGCTTCTTCTTCCTCTTCTTCTTCTTCTTGTTTCCCATGCTTTTGTGATAGCCGCAGCTGCTGCAAGTGGTAATGAAACAGCAGGAATGAAAGTGATGTTGCAGAAGAACCATTCAAAAATGTCCACTTTCTTGATTTTTGGTGACTCCACGGTAGACCCTGGAAATAACAATTATATAGCGACATTTTCCAAGAGCAATTTCCCACCTTATGGCAAGGATTTCTTGAACCATTGCCCTACTGGAAGGTTCACTAATGGCAAGCTTGTCACTGATTTCATCGGTAAGTTCTTCCTCTTTTGAAGAGAGACGATTACAAATTAAACCTTCATTTCGAAAAAAAATAAAAATAAAAATTCTATCTACTAATATATACAGTTGATTTATCTGAAAGATTGAAACTACTCACATTTACATAATCATGTTGTCGCTTAAAAGTTTTCTATCTTCCTCCAAAATTCGTCATTTTAATTACTCTAATTATGTTCTAAGGCTCTTTAAGAGTATATCTTTCTCTGGTTAAATGTATAGTAGTTTTTCTCATTGATTAGCCTTCTTATTAATCGTTGTTAATATATTTTGAAATTTTATGTAACACAGCTGGTTATGTGGGGATAAAAGAAACAGTTCCTCCATATTTGGATCCAACACTCAGCATTGAGGACCTAAAATCCGGAGTTAGTTTTGCTTCCGGGGGTTCGGGTTACGACCCTGTTACTGCTGGATTAAGCGTACGTCTTAACTTCTAATACTCGTTTTCATCTGTGATTGCTCGTGTTTATAAACTTAATACGTGCATGGACAGAAAATAATTAATTTTTCAGTCCATATATAAATTAATTAGAACGATATATATAATATTTTTCTTAATCAAAATTAACTTAATGCATGCTTGAAAATGTGTGTCGAGTTCCGTTAATTAATTTTATGGTCCTAACTTTATTTTAATTTTTTGAATTGTTGGCAGAGCGTGATACCATTACAACAGCAACTGGATTATTTCAGAGAATACAAAGCCAGAATTCAACAAGCAATTGGGAAGGAGAGAGCCAACTCACTGATTAAGAATGCAGCTTTCCTTATAAGTTGTGGGACGAATGACTATGTAGTAAATTACTTCAGTACACCTCTGAGGCAGTATACTTACTCACTCCCACAATACCAGCAACTTGTGTTAAAACTTGTTCGTAAATTCATCCTGGTAATTAAGCATGCATCCATTCTAGCTTGTTAATTTCGGCCAATTTTTTTTTATATATATATAATTATTTTTATTTCGTGGATCAAATTTTGTGATTAAAATAGTACCAACCAGCAAAAATTACCAAAAAAACATGTTATGTTTCTGCAGGGCAAATCTCTTTAATTTCACGGGTAATCTGTTAAGACATTAAAAATAAAAAAGTAATATTTGTCGCACTATTTTCGTACATAACATTATTTTTTTTGGCTCTACCTCACCAGCACCACAAATATTTTGCTTGGCGCTTGTTTAGTTATTATTTTTCTTCAACCAAAATTTTTTTATTGGCCTACTGTACAAAAAATAATTAATTTTCAGGGTTTAGCAGCAGAAGGAGCGCAAAGAATTGTGGTTGTGGGACTTCCGCCAATGGGCTGTCTCCCCATTGTAATAACCTTGAACTCCAAAGACGCATTTAACAACCGACATTGCATCGAGAAATTTTCTTCAGCAGCAAGGAATTATAATTTGGAGCTTCAAAAATTACTACACACTCTTCGACGCCCCAACCTTGAGTTACTTTACGCTGACATTTACACTCCATTGGACGACATGATTACAACTCCTTCCAAATATGGTTTGTCCACACAATTTTGATTCTTTCTCAACTTTTAATTATTTATCAAAAATCAAGTTCTTCCTTGAGACAAACGATCTTCTCAATTTGAAAAATTCAAAATTCAATGTAAACAATTTTTTTTTAACACAGAACAATACTTTTTTTTTCAGAAACAATGCTATTTATTACATCACGATAATCGCTACTATATTCTTACTTTTCTCTTCACTTTGTTTTATGTTCGAAAATGTTTTGATGTAGGTTACACCAACATAAATAGTGGGTGTTGTGGGACAGGACTTCTGGAAGGAGGGATTCTGTGCAATCCGAACACCTTCACTTGTCCTGATGACTCAAAGTATGTTTTCTGGGACTCGGTTCACCCAACTCAGGCCACGTATTACAACCTCTTCAAAGCACTGCGTCCTACGGTTGATGCCTTCCTTAATTAATTTCTCCCAAGGGATAAAATTGATCGTTGGTGTTCTTCCTTCATTCTGTAAATGGCATTTAAAAAAAAAAGGCATTTTCCGGAGTTTGTCAAATTAATATAAATATTCATCTGTATACAAAGTAACATTTATATTTGTTAATAGTTACTCCACAAAAAATACAGGTGTCTTTTCTGATTGGTTATAAGAAACATATATATAGTCTTCTATCTTCCCCTTCTTACGAGTCTTACCTCAGGGAATAAATGCTCCATCAATGCCCCGGTCCATTGAAACGCCATGAGATAAAGACGTGCACCCATAATAACCAAAAAAAATTTTATTTCTTAAAAAAATGAAATGAACAAAAATTAATTTTTAAGATCTAAAAACGTGACAAAAACTACGTTTTGTATATTGTATGTAAGAAATAAAAATTGGAAATGAGAGTAAGTCAACAAGACCCATGTTTTCAGAAAAGGAAAAACATTGGAAATGAGAGTAAATCGACCAGTCGCATTTTTTGATCTTTAAAAATGTTCATTCTTTTCCATTTTGAAATCTTGAATCAAGTACGACGTAAATTCTATGGAAATCCGTAGAGTACAAAACTACAACTTTTTTATTTTATCCATAAGTGATGGCGAAGAGAGGTAAATGAGTTCAGTAAAAACTGTACTGTGTCCTCCAATCCTCAATTCTACATCTAGCTTTGCCCATACTGTACCCTTTCCTTTTGCCTTGTAGCTCTGGATAAATCATAAATAATGAGTACTTTGAATTTAGAGAACTAATAAGGCGCATCATCGATGATCATCGTTGTCGCAAATTTCATTAAGTAAGAAAGGACACGCATCAACTCAAACTCTTTTTCAAGAGTCAGATTAAATCATTTTCTTGTTGGTTGAAACAAAAGTGGTTGAGAATTAATTCATTGAAACATTTCTGCAAAAAAGTTCGATGCATCAAAGGTCAATGTAGTACAATACTCAATCTCAATCCTCAATAAACACGAAAAGGAAATCAATGAATTATGATGCATCTAAACTGACACTTTCTGTCATAGCAATTGAAAACAAAAACTTTTTTGAGCAGTATTAGCTCATTGATCGATATATCATGACATAATATAAGTAAATACACAACCATTTTGGCTTCTCCTCCACTTTAATCCATCATGGGTTTCATGGGTAAAATTCTCCTCCACATTCAGCTGCAGCACAATAGCAAATTTTTCTCCCTTTTTCTTCTATTTCTTTTTCTGCCATCTCTTTTGTTGCTAAGAGCAAAAGGTCAACCTATGTACGATAATACTGTTGCTCCGAGAAATTCTGTCTCCGCCATTTTTGTTTTCGGAGATTCCACTTCTGATACTGGAAATAACAACTATGTAAGTACTACTTTTAAGAGCAATTTCCCGCCTTATGGAAGAGACTTTTTCAACCATATTCCGACCGGAAGGTTTACTAATGGAAGACTTGCTAGCGATTTCATTGGTAAGGGTTTCATTTTACTCTTTTTTTTACTTTTATTATTTCTTTCACTTTTTTGCCATCTTCGATTTCGTTTTTATCTTCTTTAGCTGGTGATTATTTACGGGAGAAAAATGATGACTTTATTATTTTATTTTATATTTTTGGTTTTAAATATCAAGTTTCAGCTGAAACAACCTCACGTAAAACTCAATTACCAGAAAATTTTGAACCATAAAAGTAGTTTATTTTTTTATTTGATATAATAATAAACAAGTTAGATTTTGTTTGGTTTACGTATCACTACAAATTATATAATAACCGTTCGTGCAATATTTATCATGCTTATTTGACTAAATAAGGGATGGTACTGACTTGAAAGATTAGGTTTCCGTTGCTACATGAGCGTAAACTTCGGTGAAATTAAACCAGCAAATTTTGTTTAACCCAACGGGAAAAAAATAATTACCCGTAAATTTTGAACATGTTGACTTTCTCTTTTTCTTTTTGTGAATTTGTTTCTCGTGTCATGTATAACTAATTTTCGGGTGATTTCATTAAGTGCAGCTAAGTATGTTGGCATCAAAGAATTTGTCCCTCCTTATTTGGATCCAAGTATCAGAAATGAGGATTTGATAACCGGTGTTAGTTTTGCATCTGCGGGATCCGGTTTCGACCCGCTTACACCAACACTAAGCGTACTTCCTCTAGCCATCTCTCCCTCACAAAAGCTTTGAGTTTAGATATAATTACTGCCCAAATTTTTTGGGTGATTAGTTTTTCTTTTTTTCTTTTTTTTTTTTGGGAAAAAAGAACTTTCTTTTAAAATTTAAATTGATTTGTTGGCAGAATGTGATATCGCTATCGAAACAGTTGGAGTACTTCAAAGTGTATCAAACAAAAGTGGCAGCATTAATTGGGGAAGATCAAACTCAAGCTTTGATAAGAAACTCACTCTTCCTCGTTAGTGCTGGCACAAATGATTTTGTCGTGAATTATTTCGCAGTTCCAATTCGACGCGATAACTACACCATCGCAGCTTACATCGACTTTTGCTTAGGATACGTCGATCAATTCATGCAGGTGATTAATTGCTCCTATTCACTTCCTTATTGAGCACTTATACTTAACCCCATTTATCGATAGAGCGGTCTATTAAAATGAAACGGAATAAGTGATTAATTTTAATTGTAGTATTATTGTGTCTCGAAATAAGAAAGGTTTGGATAAGGTTGATAACCAAAAAAAATAAAAATAAAAATAGAAAAGAAGGAACTTTGTCACCTGCCATACGTAGATGAGTTGGTTTGGATTGTTATTGATTGATTATAGCTGGCGTATGTAGCTGAGTTAGTGAAATTTAAAGGGAAAAATACGGTCATTGATTGATTATTATTATTATTATCATTATCATAGTCAAGACGTCCACCAACCCTGCTGCCTAGAAATTAATAGGTGCATAATACAAGTTAACTATTGTAATTCAACGGGATGTTCAATGAATTATTATGAGGAAGATGTTTTGAACCATCAAATCAGGAAAACGCTACAGGTATTTTAAATTAGTATTTTTAGTCTTTTAACCTCCTTCAATATATATTGTACTTAAAAAGAAATCACTAGAATCTCCAAACTTAAGAGTTCCAAAAAAACAAAAACGCGGTAGTCTTAGATTAGTCAAATTATTGGATTTTTTATGAATAAGAAATTGGATACATAGTTTTATCAACGTTTCCGCAATTGTTCTGAATGTGTGTGGCAGGGTTTGTGGGATCTTGGGGCGAGACGTATCGGAGTTGTTGGGCTACCTCCCATGGGTTGTTTGCCAATTGTTATGACCCTATACTCCGGTAGCGTTATCGGAAAACGTAATTGCCTGAATAGTTACTCCGATATCGCTCGGAATTACAACCAGAAACTCCAAAACCAACTGGGTAACATGCAAACTAGATTTGCTGATAATGGTTCACGAATCGCCTATCTGGATGCGTACAGTCCTTTAGAAGCCATGATGTCCCACGCCCAAGATTATGGTAACTAAATTAACATAGCCTTTCAATCTTTTTTACTCATGAAAAAATAGTCATTTGAGACACAATCAGCTTGCTAGTTACTACACTTCGATTAATTTGTCACATATATTGAATTCTTAATTAATTAATCTTTTGTTAATTCTTGCATTTGTAGGTTTCGACGAAGTTAGCAGTGGATGTTGTGGAACAGGATATCTGGAAGCGTCCTATTTGTGCAATCCGAGGTCATACATTTGTCCGGACGCATCCAAGTACGTTTTCTGGGACTCGATTCACCCCACCGAGAAAACTTACTACCTCCTCTCTCAAAATGTTCGACCAGTAATCGATTCCCTTGTCCAGGATTAATTATTCTGTTCTTATGTATTAATATACTTTTTTTTTCGTAATAAGAATCTTATATACTCCATTTGTCTAAAAAAAATAAAATTTAGTTCACGTTAAATTTTTAGTTTTGTACTGTTTTTAGTACGATTTTGAAAATTCAACGTGGACTATTTTTTTGGGCAGAGATTGTATTATTATCTTAGTTAAATAGCAAAAATATTATTTTGGAACGAACCTTAATATATATGTAGTACTTTTAGCTTGAGTACTCCAACTTGAATTTTATCCTTTTATTGCAGCCAAAATCATTTAGTTCCCCAGTCAAAGTGTGCTGTAAATATCAAATAATCAAAATACTATATGAGTTATAGTATCATTGGTGTTATTTTTTTTTTCTTTTAGTAGTGATTTATTGGTAACGGGTGGGCATTTTGGACGACAAAGAGTTACTGTACTGATAAATAATGTGACTTTAAAATAAAATTTTCCCCCTCACTTTAGATGTTTACTAGTTTTTTACCTGTCGCGCGTTGCGCAACCAGTGTGTATGTGAATTCTTTTACTTTGTTATTTTTTATGAATTTTTTAATTCTTCATTTGGTTAAAGTTTTCATTATAATTGCAACTTCCCGGTAAAACGATATAATTAAACAAATAATTAAAATATAAAGTTGACACTGTGTATTTTCCCCTTTAAATGATCTAATATAAAATTGTAGTACATTAAGTAATTGTTATATTGGGGAATTGAATAACAACCTATTGGTTATGATGTTATTTTTCTTGGTCCTAGACCGGATTCAATTTACATCAAGGAGTTTTTGTGAGGGGGAATTTTACCTACATTTAAGTGGGATTCACTGCGGTAGGTTTTTTCTTTTTTTTTTTATTAAAAAAAGAAGTAATTGTTATATTGATTTTTAAAGAGTGAACTTTGATGCTAAATAAAGGAATGTAAAAGTCACCACAAAAAAATTATGTCATGGTGAGGTTGTTTTTACATAGTTTGGCTAGCATATCATGTATGTAACCCGACATATAGTATATATCAATACAATTTATTGGGTTAAAAAAAAAAAAAAAGAAAATGGAGAAGGAGAAAGAAAGCTCTAATCAGACAAGAAACCTTTATGCAATAGCAAGAAGATGATCTAACTTATCTTTTTTTTAAAAAAAAAATTAGTATGAATTCTCCTTGCCTAAAACATCTCACGAGAACTATCAACCGTTAATATTTTATTTGAGCTAATATTTTATTTTTATGTGAAATATTAGTTTTATTTAATGTTTTTAATCTTTATGTTAGGAAGAATAAAATAAATCAGAAAAATAGTGTCTTTATTGCTAAACTATATTATTAAAAAATTAACATACTTATATAAATATTTCCCCCGTTGTTTCTATTTCTACTGCGGTTTCTTATGGCCACCTCCACAAGGAGAGATTGTTGTTCGTGAAGGAGAGCCTCTTTCTGGTCTTCAAGAGCTCGAATGTGGTCCCATATTCTTTGCACCACTCTTCATACGACCTCAGGATCGAGAGCTGGTGGATGCTCGCAAAACAGACCAAGCGAAAGCTGTTGTTGGAGCTTTTCGGTTTCCGTGGTTTGTATTTCTTGTTGAATTTCAGCAAGTCTTCCAACGTTATCCATGCATAGTGAAGCCAAATTCAATCAAGGCAATGCAACCTTAATTTAGAAAGAACAATGATAGGTCCATGTTAGGGATGATCTAGATAAACCAAAGCGTATCTTATCTATATGTAAGTAAATAACCTCACTGATAATTCAAATGACAATGAGAAAACAAATGAAAACTTAGGAGTCATGTAATAAAGCACAATAAATATTAGCCATGAAGAAGGATCAAAACTCTCTTTTATCAAAGTAGTACCCAAATCCCAAATCATTATTGATTCAGCAAAAAGCCTCAGATATTTCAGTAAAGAAACTAAGTTCAGTAGCATTATCACTCCACCACTTGCTTTCTACAGAACTTCCATCATGGTCAAATGACATGACTATATCTTCTTCAAGTTAATATAGCAACTTAGGGTTTATAATATTTAAAATAATCCTTTTCCTCCACACATCCTAGTGGAGCATATATAAAAAGATAAGAACAAAACTTTCGATAACCAAGCAACCAAGCAAGAAATTAAGCCAAAAGAAAGTCAGATCACAAATTCAATATCATAAAATCTCTGCTAAGTACTATATTACATAAAAGTATTTGAGAAAATCGTGTGCAAAGTAAAAATGCCAACAAAAGTATATTACATAAAACAGAACCAACAAAAGTATTTGAGAAAATTGTGCGCAAAGCAAAAATGCCAAAACAACAATCCAACTTTCCACTACATCAAACCAAGGGATTCAATTCCTCTCACGCAAATCTCCACAAGAATAAAGTAAAGGGAGGTGGAGCGTCATTAAAAACACTCCCATACGACAAATGCTCAAACTTACTTTCATATCACCACAAAATTCGAACTAAGAAGTGAAAACAAAGTGAGATAAACAACTGATCTTCCAGAAACTAACCAAATAAACTAAAATCGTGCCAAAAATTACACAGAGAAAGTGAAAAATGAATCAAAATTATAGACAACAAACAGATCCCCTTACCAAAAGTAAAACTCTAAGCAGCAAAAAATTTCAGGAACAAAACTATTCGAACAAAATGAAATTAAACAAAAAAATTTTGGATATGGAGTCAAAAAGAAGAATTACCATCGTCGTCCTTATCGAAGCGGCTGAAAGCTTCCTTGAATTTAGCGATCTGCTCCTCAGTCAACTGCTCGGTCATTATCGTTCTCACAGAAGCTCAGAGATCAAATCCCTACCAAATGAAAATAGAAACGCAGAGAAAACTGTTTGAGTCACTCTCTCTTTAGCTACTGAGCTCTATTGTTCTTATATTTTTGCCTTAATAAAATGGATTCCTTCTCTCCTTTTGTAACATAAATTTAAAGCTAAAACAGAACCAAAAATCAACTGCACCAGAATTGAGATATAATCTGAAATAATCCTCACCTGGTTAAAGCCAGGTTCTTTGTTGTGTAAAAGGAACCGAGTTCAGTGATGGGGTGTCAAGCCACACAAATAAATTAACCTACTTCAAACTACGTAGTATAGAGAAGTAAGGTCGTCTCCTCAGGGAACGATGGATTGTTTCCTTTAAATTAGTGTAAATGGAAAGATTTTTGGATTGTTTTTCTAAACTAAAATAATGAAATTCAAATAACAAAAACTAAATAAAAGAAAAGAAATCAAAGTAACAGAATTCTGACTCAAGGGACAGGTAACTCAATTATTTCATTAATCATAGGCTACTAAAACTACTCTTGCAATTTAAGCATTCAACCAAAGATATATTAGGATAGCCGTAATAAATCAATTAATCTTCCTAATTAACTAACCAAGCCTAACACTCAATTAGTCCTTACCATAATTCGGCTGGGCACGATAGCGTTCCATACCAAACAATGACAGCATAAATACCAAGAAAATATAGTTGAACCAAAATCTAAACAATTGAGATAACTGCAACTATTCATACTTTGCCTCATTGATTCCACATTTAAACTAACATGCATATTCAATGTCTCACCAATACACATGCTTTGTCTAATTGCTACTCAGTACTGCCGGTTCTTGTCTATTACATAACATTCAACTAGAAGATAGCACTAGAAAATAAATAACAAATCAAGTTGTCAATTCGAATGATATCTACTTTCATAACTCAATACAAGAATCAACAAATACTTAAATTATAGGAAAAAAAATAATAAATTAAGAACAAAACTTCATAATGAAATAATTGGATAAATCCCTTGAATCAGAAAAGAAAACTTAGCCACTCATAGTTGGAAGTATGGCGGCTTGATTCTCCATGGAAAACATGAAAATTCGGGAAAAACAAGAGGTGGGAGGTGCTAGCCTTTGGCCTTTGCATGGCTGCCCTCTAAAATAAAACTTAAAGTATATTTATATGGAAAATTTAGGTCAGCCGTTGGAAAAGAAGAATTAGTCCATGATTTGCATCTTTGGTCCCTCAAGTTTGTATTATATTCACTTTTACCCCAAAACTTCTTTAATTTTGTATTTAAGTCCCTAATCTTGCAAATTAGCCCAAATCAGCTCTAATCTCTTATTTCCAGCTTCTAACAAGAAATAATAATAAAATCAATGAATTAAATCTATCTGAATCCATAAACTAATAAAATATCAATAATTAAAATACAATTTATGGACTCTATCATTCAGCCATACAAGCTTACTTCTATCATCACATCAGTACAATCCGAGATATCTCTGAATGCATCGATCTTGCATTTTCTTCAGACTCCCACCAAGGGATAACTAATTGCAAAACCACAGACTCCATAAGTGAATGGGATTCATAAAGTTGAAATCCTCAAACGATTCTATAACATTCAACCAAAAAAACAAAAAAAGAACAAGTCAATCCATTTATAATGAAAACATAACCCCAAAATCATAATTTTAACTGATGTTTTAACTATTAATTGGCGTGCTAGTGCTATCCATCACGACAATTTCTAGGAATTTCAGTTGTCTACTTCACCACTACACGGAGAGGGCAAAAACGCCCATCGTCCTTCTCGGATCCATAGCCCTGCTCTCGATGAAAATCCAAACTCAAAAACAAATTTAGGATTTCACAATCAAACTTCTAACAAGCATTAGTTACAGATCCATAACTTATTCTTCACAAGTACAAACCTCAAAATACCAATAAGGGGAGTGAGAGCGGAAGATGCCAGAAGCAGCAGTAAAATCTTCTCAACCCTAATCATCGACTTCTCAAACTTGATTTTCAAGACCATTCTCCATCTTCATCTTCTCAACGACGGCAGATTTGCTACATTATGTCTTCATCTTCGTCTGTTTTTCATGAAATTGATGTTGATTTAAGGTTCTATACTGCCAAAAAAGACAAACGGAAGATTGGCGGAGGGGTTAGAGGAACGATGAGAAATTTTGGAGCGGCAGGGAAGAAGGCTGCATGCAACAATAAATTTTGGAACGATGAGAAATTTCGGAGAAATTTTGGGTCTTCCTCAAAAGACGTCATTCCTATTTATATTTTGAGGAAGAAGGCTGCACCCGATGCCGTTTTTTTGCCTGGGGTTTTTTCTCAATACTTTTAAATCCATAGAAAATAAATACATGTAATTACGAGTATACATGTATGCCATGGAAAATAGAAAAACTGGTAAAATAAATTATGAATTCTCGTTCTTGCCCTTAATAAATCGCTGACGTCATATCAAGGTCATCCGACAGACGAGATCGATTTGAAGGTGTCTCCTTGAATATTTCTTGGGCATTATTTCTTGTTTACTGTGCCTTTTATTTAAGTACTAGGCTTTTGTTGTCGCGCGTTGCGCGACCAGTGTTTTTGTTATATTTTTATACATCTTTCATAATTTATAACGTATGCGATAGTTAAATTTTGGTAATACATTCAAAGCTTAATTTCGGTCAAAAGTGTAACAATTTTATTTTGTAATTTTTGGCACATTGTGTCTCTTTCTATAATTGAATCATCTTATAGTTATGAGATTGATGATTTTGTTGAAATTTTAGCATTGTTCGGTAAAAGCGCCTTCTACTTATCACTTAATTTTGTTAGTCCTTGGTTGCAAATTTCTTTATTTACCAAGTCCCTTTAATGTAATCTAATCCCAACTCTTGAAATAGATTCTTATGTATTGTTTGAAAAAAGTAACTTTTTTAGCTATACACGAGTATTTATCATATTTACGTGCTAGTTGGTTGGTTGACAATTATTTTAAATAAACAATAGTATTCATCACATTTATGCGCTAGTTGGTTGCCTCGTAATTTAACAGATGAAAAATTACATCATCAAAAATACCAAACACATATTTGATAAAAATATATTCTCTCGTCACAAATGAACTCTTACTTTGAAATGGAAAAAGTATCATTAGTGTGTGAATTTCAACATTCTACTTTTGTTTTCCGATTCTTTCTTTCAGATCCTAGAGGTTTATGAAATGATATGAACTTTTTCTTTGCGTTTTGATCAGTTTAGCGCGGCAATGGATCCAATGCCTATGGAAGAAAGGTCTAAGAAGTAAAACACTGAGAAATAGAGAAATGATTAAAAGGTCATTTCGTTTTACTATTGAAGAATGCATGGAAAGTAGCTTCCCCTTGAGTTTCAGGGAACGAAAGAAACTGAATACATCTCAAAACATTATTCCTTAGTCTAATCCTTAGCTATCAAACAATAGATTAGTTATCCTACGCTAAATCTTTCATCAACTAACTTAGGACCCAATGATCACCATATACTTTCTTCTTTCTACATATATGAATTATGAAAAAAATACTATAGAATAAAGAATATGAATACAATTCCATAGTGGATTGAAGCCAAGGCATCGTTTTCCCAATTATTATTTATTAAGCTACTATCTGTCCTGCTCTATGTACAGTTGATCAATCCATGATGGCATAATGTCATTGAACGCTCCATTACGCTTTTGCTCTAAGCTAAATAGTTGCCCAGTGTTCCCAGATGGAACTTCTTTCACAAAGTAATTGACCCAAGAAACATCAGGTTCATCTATACCAAAAGATGCGACTTCCACAGCTTGACTATACCTAAAAGTTGACGTAGAGCGGCAAAAATGAGTGGTGGTGCGAAGTTCATTGCCAAATCTGTCGAAATTATGCTTGAGATTTTCTTGTGTACAGTTAAAATAAAATTCACAAGAAAAAACTTAGCTCTTAATATAAATTAAATCTGATTAATTTTTAAAATATGAAATATGATTTTAAATGATAAGTAGAATGAAAGCAGCTTTACTGTCAGCCCTAAGGATTTGAAAGGGGGTTTAGGGCCAAAAAAAAGAATAGATATACTATGACGCTTCAAATGAGAAACAACGTGAATGCACTAAGAGCTACAGTTGACTTTCATTCCTTAAAGAAAAAAAAAAAGAACAATGCACATAGTATATAGAAGACATCAGAAGATCATCATG